CAGTAGCCTCTTAGGATGTTACTGCATACAACTTTACATTACTGGTGGGGCGTATAGATGGAGTGTGGCGTAGGCAGCGAGGTTGAGCCTAGAGGCTTAGATGTGTGAGTTGTAGTAGAGTTAATTACACATTCAACCTCTACCGAAATTTGAACGTCGCATGACAACCCGGCGACCTGCTGCCAGCCCCGAAAGAAGTGTGGCTTCATTTGACAATTGTGATTTTGTCATCGTTACAGACGAGGGGTCTATATCACAAAAGTGCTAATATATTATACCTAAATGCTATTTAACCGAACTATTATTTAGAGCAAATTATCAATCATTATAACTGAAAATATATGCCTCGTTTATAAGATATTACAATCCTTATTTGCTTCTTTAATGGAATAAAATAAGAAACGACCTCGGCTGTAGCCTTGGCTGAAAAGTGGTTGGTTGCCGCAACTCTATCAGATCGTATGCGCTTTGAGTTGGCGCACGTCGTTGTAATCAAACTTAGTCTAGTTTTAAAACAGTAATAATTTTTTTTTCTAATGGTGATTGAACTATGAAACTTTTTAGGGGGGGTGTAGGCGTAATTATAACCTAATGTAGCTGAAAGAATAAGAACCCGTGAGATACTAGAGCTAAACTCTCCTCATTAATCTTTTCCGTAATATATTCCATAGCAGGTTGGTACTACATATGTATGCATCAACCTGTCCGAGTCTTACTATTAGGCGGTGTTAGGAGGGGGGATTGGAGGGTCAATTATACTAAATCAAGAACTATTGTTACAGTGAGATTGTTTACACGTCGCCCATCGTTTACACAAACCTGACGAAGCTCTCGTACCGCTCATGAAAGACTTATCTCGTTAAAACTATCTCTGTCTTCCGACATGAAGAGGCCCATCGACTGGGTCCCGACACGCCTCTTAGGCCTTCGGAACATTTGGCTGTGCCTCGGGGGACTGGTAGCGCCGCACGACGCGGTCTACCAGAGTACGGCGGAGTCGTGCAGGGCGAACACGACCTCGCAGTTCATCGCCGATGCACAAGCTCTCTCGCGTGCATGCTGCGGCGACTCTGCAGGTACCTCGAGCATGCGCTGTCACTTCTCCGTTGCGAGTCTCGACGACTCGAGTCGTGCAATCTGCAAAGCAGTACGGGCGTACGTAGCGCGACTGTGCTGACGCAGCAATCCTAGGTGGCGTACTAGCGCTGACGCTGACGCAGCACGCTAGGTGCGTCCATAGCCAGACGCTGACGCAGCAGCTAGTGCCGCCACTGCACGACACTGACGCAGTCGCTAGGGTGGCGTTACTAGCGCGACGCTGCACGCAGCAAGCTAAGTGCGTACTAGTGCGACGCGTGACGCAGCAGCTAGGTGCGTACTAGCCGACGCTGCACGCAGCACTAGGTGCTACTAGCCCGACGCGACGCAGCAGCAGCTAGGTGCTACAGCGTACGCATCGACGCAGCAGCTAGCGTGCTACTACGCACGCTGACGCAGCAGCTAGGTGCGTACTAGTCACGACACTGAGCCAGCATGCTAGGGCGTACTAGCGCGACGCTGACGCAGCAGCTAGTGTCGTACTAGCGCGCGCTAGCGCAGCAGCTAGGTGGCGTACTAGGCGCGCGCAGACGCAGCCAGTCTAGGTCTACTAGCGCTGACTGCTGATTGCAGCAGCTAGTGCTCACTAGCCTGACGCTGAAAGCAGCAGTAGGTGTCGTGCTAAGCGCGCGACGCTGAGCCAGGCAGCAGCTAGCGTGCGTACTATGCGTGACGCTTGATACGCTAGCAGCTAGTGCGTACTTAGCCGGACGCTGACGCAGCACTAGGGTTCGTTGATTCGATGCGTGAATCGAATGATTTGATGCGTGAATCGAATGATGCATCGAATCATTCGATTCACGCATCGAATGATGCATCGAATCATTCGATTCACGCATCGAATGAATTTGAATCGAATTATGAAACAGAATACACACCATAATTATGTGGGAAACCATATGCCTGTGTGTACATCTCATTATAGTGTGATTAAAGAAATGTGGATTCTTCTTTATTCGTTTATACGAGGTCCATGATAAAGTTACATCGCTATACGAGTTTAAGTTAAGACATTAAAAGTTAAAGAGGTGTTAGTATTTTATACATATTTAAACATTTTTTAAATTAAATTACATATTTTCAAATTCTCATTGGAAATATCAATAATAGTTAAAAATGAAAAACTCTTATACGTAATACTTTGTGTATAAAGTGATTATTTTAATAATCTACTCATAAGTAATATCTCAGCGTTCCTTTCCCTCGAGCACATTCCATCTCCTCGCCTTACAAAATTACTATGATTAAGAAAATAATTTCACTTGAACAACCCTCTCTCTTGCTCACCCTACTTAAAAAGTTTCTTGTTAAAATACCATTTCTTATCAATATTTTATTATTACTCATATGTGCCAGGTGCAATACAAAGATTATCTTGATCAGGAACTTGTGGGATAAGTTTGTGTAAATATTACCTACCAAACATAGTACAAATTAGGCTTACAACATTCAAGCATATGGTAATGTAAATGTGGTATATGTTAATTTAACAGCATAATTTTTCCACAGCCACATAGTTGCAAATGTATTTAAAATAATGTACATATTAAAATTGCCAGTGTTGTTATATGTGACCCGCTGTTGGTAATTCTGGTGATGACAAATGTTGAACCTTCTGAACTTTATTTTCGCCAGTTTTTTGTATTAGACCACGAGCTTGTTACAAAAGTGATAGACCACTATCCGTGTTATTATTTAACTTCATAATGTACGTTCAACTTCAATATATGTATAACTTCACTAAACATTATAGTGAATGGTGAAATATAACGATCTTTATAGAAACCTAAACGAACGTGAAGTAGAATGTGGGCAAATGAACATCAAAAGAGTATCTTGCTTGAACCCCACAAGACATAAGAGACAACACAAGCAATAGCACCACCTTTTCATTATATCAAACACCAACGACCTTGTTTTGAAATAAATTATCTATTAACATTTTACTGTTATTCACCAAGACAAATTTGTATGTAAGATACTCCCCGTTTTAACTGAAGACAATGTTGTACGCTACTATTCTCCTTTAATCGTCCGCGTGTAATCGTGAGACATGGATTCCTTGTCAGCTCCATCAATAGTCTGCTCGCTATGTACAGGCATTCGTCATCCAGAGGAGCTGTCATTGCTCGTGCCGTTCGATGAGAAGACCATCAGGAAGGGAGGAAAGAAGCCCGAGAATAGGCAGTACACGAGGCAGCAGTCGCGGGCTAGTAGCACTTACACGCCCGGCAAATCCCCCGGATCGGCGAGCGTCGGTACACCGCAGGTGTGTATTGCGAGTTAAGTCGGTCTGTTATTGCAGAGTCAGTAGGAGAAATTATCTAATGAGTAGTGATTGATAAATCATCGTATTTTTTTCTTTTGCAGCATTGGCGTAAAAACGCTGATTGTTTCGAAAGAGCTGCTAAATTGTTAACAGCCCCGTTAATTGATTGCGCGCGAAGCCATGTTTCTTAACCGTTTCGTGTCTGTATCGATTTTACAGTACAGTGTTGAGCGTTAATATGTTTGCCATCAAGGTTTATTTCATTGGAAAAAGGTATAATAAATCAAGAAACGGTTGAGCTATCGCAGCACCTAAGAATCAACAGGACCTCGGATCGCGTGTCACACGAGAGTGCGTGTGATGTTTGTCGGCAGCGATGTGGCGGCTCTCGGAGACGCTGCCATTTTGAGTCGGGGTTTTGAGTTTTTGTTTCTAAAACGCACCACTAGGTGGACGGCACAGGAACGATATCTCGCTACGGAACAATGAGTAAGAGTACAGAACATCTGCAATATCCCACCATCGACCCGCTGTCCTATTGGAACTACAGATATCCAGGCGTTCCGTACACCGTAATGGGAAAATACCGCTCTACGCATGCGCGTGCAAACAGCGCATGAAGAAAATTCTAACCGCATGACACAATGTGCATCTGTATCTCGTTTCTGCATTCTCACTATGGATGGAGAACCTAACTAATGTGGGCAATACTGAATAGTGGGCGCTAGTAAGGGTAGAGCGTCGCAGCCTTGAGCGCCTGGAAAGCTCTCTATAACAGCATGGTGGATGTGCAAAGCCACGTGTATACATACACTCACCCAGCGTCCGCGTGACACCGCTGTGGCTAACTCAGATGCGAGGAGTGCGACAACATGCAACTATAGCAGATAAGGTCCCCCTGA